ATGATGATGATGATGATGAACCGTAGAATTCCACTACATAATTTGTATTGATAACGTTTTGTGTTTTTCATTACTTAACTAGCAGTTCCCGTACGGTTTCATCCGCATAAATTATAAAAAAAAAATTTACATTTGTCAAATTCTCAATTGCAAATGTCAATACCGTTACCATAATAACCTTGCTTCCTTAATGTTGGCAGCTTGTATCGTATGGTCTCTTTCCCACATTAGGGTTTTTATCCAAAATATTTACCCCCTAAATTTAATTGCGTTAAAATACATGGCTTAAAGCAGGACGTAAGTGTAGGGCTTTTTATTAAAAATAGAATTATTCAAAAATATGCTGTAATTGCTGACATATTAGGCAACAAAGAAGTGTGTGTTTACGCTTTATTATAATAGTATATATAGTATGCGTGAGAAATGGCATGGGAAAAATAATCATTATCAATAACATAATCGAATGTAAACTTTCTCATTACATGTATGGAATATACTATTTCTATAAAACAGAATAAAAACATCTACATTCATAAGTAAACAAATCTATAATTTAAAAAATATTGGTACAATAATTTAATTTTATCCTTAAGAAATAGATAAACAATTTTTCAAAAATTATACCTTTCCAAAGATAAAAATTAGAAATAAATAAATTTTATATCCGTTAATTCCAAACGATTTTATCATTAACCTGCCCTTTTTATGCCTAACGGGTCGGCACAGTATGTGCTGCTCCATACATCTCTACCAGCCGTCATATCAGAATTCACTCCCTTAAGCATATCCATCCATACTTTCATCGACATCCTTCTACTTTTGTACCCACGTTTAATCGTAAAAACCAAATGATTTCCTTCACCTTTTTAACAACACTATTTAAAACTAGCTACTTTTATTGTAATAAATTAAAAAAACAACTTAAAACTGAGCAAACATAATCAACGTAGAGTCCACTAACGGTTTCAACTCAACTAGCGCCCTTGGCAGGATTTTAACAGCAGCCCTTTTTCAGTTATATGAGACTATGCCATACACAGAAGTGTTTTTCGGTCTAGCGCCCTGGGCGGTTACTCAACCGCGCCCTACTCTAACGCCAGCCCTGAATTCGTCGTTCCTTTGTTTAAATCATTTGAACGTATAATTGGAATGAGACATATGAATTTAAATTGGCTTTCTACGTTTTGGATATTAATATATTCGTGGCAAAGTGGGCAATCAATAAAGGTGGCCAGGCGCGTATACAAACAAAAGATAAGATTATCTACCTACATTAGGGTTGGCAATTGAAAGAAAATTTAATTATGGTAAACAATGACTATTAAGGCGATATAATTCATTCACCTAAATTAAAAAAAAAGTTTTATATCTAATTCGTATTAACTGAAAGATGTTACTGGAAAATTCCAATTTATATTATTTGCTAGTTTTCTTCTTATATGTATTTTTCGAATTTCATCTTTAAGTGCATATTACTTTGATAATGTTCAGTACAGATTATGCTTTATACATTCACTAGCTTTGCCCGCGACTCCATCCGCGCGAAATAAAAAAAAACCAAAGTAAGTAGTATTTGTGTTATTCCAGATTATCCTCTACATCACACATCACACATTTCATCGAAATTAGTTCAGCCGTTTAGGCTGCAAACTCTAACAAACATCCATCTAAACTTTCGCATTTATAATACTAGTTAGTATGATATATAATTATCTGTCCTAAGTACGTTACATCTTAAAATCTGAATTTCAACATTGTTTTAACACACAAAAGTCGCAGCCCTATTCTATGTGAAAATATCACCAAATCGGTCACTAACTTACACGTAAACCGCTGTTTTTGTGTGTTCAGGCTTACAGCAAAGACATTAATACTGCCCGAGTTAGTGAGACTCACAATCAAGTTGATAAACTATTTTACCCACCGCGAACTGATTATAAATAAAATATATTAAATAAATGTATTATAAAACCAACAAATAAAGTGCACTTTTGGGCTATTTGGAAATCTTCATTTGATTATTGCAACGAATTAATTGCAATACTAGCTGTCGCCCGCAACTCCGTTCGTGTGGAATTTAAAAAAAAACTAAAATGAGCCTATGTGTTCTTCTAGGCTATCCTCTACATCTATACCAACTTTCATCGAAATCCGTTCAGCCGTTTAGGCTACAAACTCTAACAAACATCCATCCAACTAAACTTTCACATTTATAATATTAGTATGAAGTATGATTGAAAACCAAATTTCTTAAGACATTTAAAGTAAAGGTTTTTCTCATTTTAATTTATAAGATTTGTATAAGAATTATACTCGGTTTTCCTCGTATTTATCTTATTTCAACGCAAAAGGAAAATGGAATAAATTGTCTTACAAATTCACGTTAAACATAGAAGAAATTACCTTATTCCAGTTACGGCGTTTAACAATTAACAAATCTATATACACTTCCACAAAAATATATTAACAAGGAAACAACGTTAGTTTTTAATCACAAGAAAATATAAAATGATTTTATAGTCAATTTCACAATAGCAACATAAAACACTATAGTAGAAGCACTACGTAGAATGAAACGTAAACCGAGACACAACCAAACGCCTCGACAGCACGCACCTCACTGACGGATGAAAATGAAATTCTGTGGAACATTTTGCGTGGAAGTTTTTTTTTAAAGAAACGAGGTGAAAGGTTTATATGACTTTCAGCCTAGGTCAATTATTTTTAAAATGTAAAAGAAGAAATCAACATTAAAAACAGGAACAGAATACAGAATGTCATGTCAGATTAACAGTGCAATTATATTTCCTCTATACTAATATAATTAAGTGTAAACACACATTTCTTTGTTGCCTAAGATGTCAGCAATCACAGCATACTTTTGAATAATTCTTTCTTTAATAAAAAGCCCTAAATATACGTCACGCTTTAGGCTATATATTGTCTCGCCATTAAACTTAGGGGTAAATATTTTGGATAAAAACCCTAATGTGGGAAAGAGATCATAAGTTGCTGCCAACATCAAGGAAACAAGATTACTAAGGTTTGTCATGTCCCGTCAGTTTGACATTTGCTATTGATATGACAAATGGAAACAATAAAATAAAGTTTTTATAAATTTATGCGGACGAACCCGCATGGGAACAGATAGTATAATAATAAATGATTAATTAAAAACCGAAAGCAATCGTCGATATTTACACAATTTACACACTATATTATTTTATAGTGTGTAAAGCATTTCTCTGTGTGTATACTTTACACATTAAATTATTTTTGTGTAACATGAAATAGGTTAAACCCTATTTAAGTTACAGCTTAAAGTATTTTCTGTAATTAGACCCCATCAAGTAACTTCACCTGTACGCTTATCTCTTTCAGCAGGGCCGTAATTACCATTTCTAATTAGCAGTACAAAATTGGAGGGTATTTAAACCTCGAAAAGCAAAAACAAGCCGGATATTCTATGTAGAAATTAGGTCGTTTATGTAATAAAATAATCTTTGAAAAAAAAATTAAAAATGTATTTAATCTCTGTAGCCCTGAACACTGGTTGCTTGAGTCATCGGATTCCGCAGCCGGTGGAGTTCTTTTTTTTTATATAATATGTCTTATTTTATTTTTTTATATGAAAATGTCAACAGAAGTGCTTTAACACTTTTTTGTCATTTTACTATAGAGTAAAAAGCCTATAAAGGCTGGAATACATTGCCAGTAGCTAGTATGCCAGTTACTAGCTCATTTTACCGGCATGTGTTTATTAAGGCATTACTATTCTTCTTAATTTTTACCGATTTATATTTTACTAATGATTCATATGAACAAAAGATTTTTTTTATCTTCAAAATAGCGTATTAACCAAAGGGCTCATTACACGCGATGAAAGCTTTCATCTCCGGTTCCTACTGGCATCCGTTTGCCGACATTAGATTCACCCGAAAATCTACACTTATGTTACGTTAATATAAAACTATGTTGACCGCATTTATTCTTCTGGTATTAAAAAAATGAGTTTGTACACCAGAAGTATCTTAACATATTTCTTTGACACTTTTGGGTTTTGAAAACCTATTTTTCTACGCTTTTGTAGTAACTTTATTGATTTTTTTGTATTATTTTTAACTGAACCATGTCGTAGTTTATTGCGAGGCTGAAAACCAGCGCGGCTTTTAGTGACAAGCTGGAGGCCGCATTAGCTGAGCCTTCTCCTTTTGGCCAAGAGTTTTTATTTTTATTTTCATTACAGTAATATGTTTTGTAAGTTGTGTTCTTTTTTATAATTCTTTTGGTAAATAAATAGTGTTTATTTTTTTTTTTTATAAAAGCTTTTTAGCTTACAAGTTACTTTAAAAGAAAATAAACTTAAGTAAATTAAGTTACTTCCAAACACATTCTAAAGTCACATTTAAGTGAATCAAACGCTTTAATTTGCTATAACTTCTTAAACTTACAATACTTAAGTTTTATTGAATAAGTTACAATGGTTCAGTTGGAAATATTAAACCTTATTCTATTACCGTCTGTTTCCACTATCCAAACATGTATAAAACATGTGGATATCTGCATCTAATTTCAAAAAGATAACCCCGAAATTATCTGACGGTAGGCATAAGACAATAGAAAATAGTAGCTATCGCACGCGACTCTGGTCACGTGGAATTAAAAAAGAAAACAAAAGTGAATAGCCTATGTGTTCTTCCTTTTAGTCTAAGTTTTAATAAGTTAAATAAAATTAATTTTATTTCTGAATGGTTTTCAAAAGGATTAAAACTTTGAATTAGATGCAAATCGAATAAAATAGAAACACTAATTTCTAAGACTCAATCAAAAGTTGTAACATTTGTAATTTTAAAGTTTAATTTGTTTTTCTTTCAGAAAAACAAGGATAAATGAATTTTCCGTTTACAGTTTTAATTCCATTTCGGAATACTTAATTAACGGGGTGAATAAATTGGAAAAAACAAAATACCCTAAAAACAAAATATTCTCAAAAAAACAGTACACTAAAAAGTAACGAAATAATTCCTTGATAACAGTAAACCTCCCTTATTGTAGCTGTTATGTCTATATTGTACAATTATTATTACTTTGATGTCGGTGTCAGCCGAGGTATGCAGTGATATTTACACGTAAGGCTTTATACATTTTTACTATAACAATTGACAATTGAAAGTATAGTGACGTTTTTAATGAATCTACATTGACTGACACCGACTTCAAAGTAATAATAATTGTACAATATAACAGCTACAATAAGGTAGGTTTACTATTTTCAAGGAATTATTTCGATACTATTATTATAAATGCGAAAGTCTAGATGGATGGATTTATGTCTGATGAGTTTGTAGCCTAAACGGCTAAACGTATTTCGATGAAATTTGGCATAGATGTAGAACATAGTTTGGAAGAACACATAGGCTCACTTTGGCTTTTTAATAACACGCTGACGGAGTCACGGGCGAATCTAGTCTTAAATAAATAAATTAACTTTGCTATAGTAAATCCCTGTCGTAGTTTCGCTTCGCTTGATCGAGTTAATTATACCTCAAATAAAATTATCCTTCGAGTAATAGCCTTTGATCAATTCTCGGAGACTTCGCCTCAGGAATAATCTGTTTATATCTGAGCTTAATTAAAACAGCTACTTCTTAGCGCTAGAGATACACTTTCTTATATAAAGTGATTATTATAAGTATCAAAACATCGCTTCGAAAAATTTGAGTGCTGTAAATCTATATAAACTAATACTAGATGTTGCTCGCGACTTTGCCAGCGTGAAATTTAAAAATATAGCCTATGTTACTCTCAAATAAATTGCCTTTCTAATGGTGAAAGAATTTTTGAAATCCGCCTAGTAGTTTTTATGTGAATCGACTAGAAATCCAAAAATTCTTATCTGTACTAATATTATGAAGAGGATTTTTTTTTATTTTGTATGTATTGGAATAATTCAAAAACTACTGGGCCGATTTCAACGATTCTGTCACTATTAAAAAGCTACGTTATCAGTGAGTAATATTGGATATATTTTTTAATTCCACGAAGGCGAAGTCGCGAGCAACAGTATGATAAAATTTAAATAACATTAGGATCGATATCAAAAATCGATTATTGGGTCCGGTTGTATGACCAGTCATAAAGTATGACATAGTCATACACTTCACACGTTCAAATACGCCCTACCTTTCTGTATCCGTCGGATAAATCGATATCCATCTTTGACCTTTAATGGACAGGACCTTTCAAGTGCGTATTACTTTATTTATTTATAGTTTGTTAACACAATTTTACATAATTTTCTTACCTTGTCATTTCTAAACGATTTGTAAGTTAAATATTAGCTTGTTTGTTCGCTCGTGTAATTTTATGAGCCCATAGACATGGATAATTTAAAACTGAAGTCCTGTCTCACGGTTTATATGTGAGAAACAAATTAGTGAATCAAATCGCAGTTCAATTTTCAATTCAATTTGACAGTGGTAGTGCCCGCTTTAACATCTTAGCAAGAATGGGCGGGCACGCCCGTTGTAATACCACGACCACATAGAAGACAGGCGTGAAATGGAAATAATTCCGTGTTTCGTCTCATAAGTGTGGTGCCGGAGGCCTAATTTAAGTCCCTTTCTCTTTACCACCCTTTTCTTATGTTATAAAAAATAAAAAATAAATAGAGGTTGGGAAGAGGAAGTGAATTTGACAGTGGAGGAGATGCATAGGAAGGGGAAATATCCTCTTTATGTGCGTCTCCTCCGCCGTCGGATAAGGGTAGGCAACGCATCTGCAATTGCGGATGTCTATGGGCAGCGGTCGCTTCGCCATTTTGGCGATTTCAGGTGGTCGTTTGCTCGTTTGCCACATTATGTTATAAAAAAAATCAATTTGTTCCTGCATTGAGGTATAATTTGAGTAATTTGTGTTCCTATAAATGAATATAGTGCAATCAAATACCATTCACCCGCGAAGTGAAATAAATTAGTAGCACTGCGAATCCTTGCCTAGTCCGTTGATATATGCTCAAGGGATTCCAAAGACAAGGCTGCCAAATGCATTTATCTTTATTGTATCCATTTCTGTACATCTATTTCCGAACGCATAATAAATATTATTGGTTGAATAGCATTATTTATGTAATCTAGTAATACTACAAGTATAACTTTATCCCTTGACTCAACTCACGGGTTTCACGATATTTATTTTAGGGGTTACAATCGCACAACAGTTATGCGATTGTAGATTGTCGATTGTTTCGCTTCAACTGTTTAGTTGCATAACTAAAAATCGAGTGGTGTGCGCACATCCAATATATCCTTTAACCATTCCAACTAAGCTCTAGGCATGTGCTACGATATGGTCCACGAATATAAACGTACAGCGGGATTCGAACCCTCGACCGCAAGATCGGTAGTCCGTACCCCAAACCATTAGGCTATTGGCGCCTATACGATATGTAATAAATTTATATAAACAATTTTACCGTTATAAGGCTTTAAGCAGTTGGAGATGACAGCCATACACGTACAATGGCGGAAATCCGCGGTATTCCATTTTAGAATAAATTGTCTTGTGTCTTGCAACGAGACGAATTCCGCTTCTTGTTACAAATAAG